TGTTTACTTTATAAATTGGTTTTTAGTAGAGGGCCTTATTATATGAGAAATTCTAAATACACGTGTATTTAAAATAAATTTATTTTTATTAAAATGTTAGTTTAAGTTAAMGTATATAATGCAATAATACTGGAGTATGATATACTTTAACTAACCTAACTGAAACTAAAATCTTCAACAAAAATGATTTTATTTTAAATACACGTTTAAAATCACGGGCRCTAGTTTTTTAGTAAACAATATAATATTATKGATTATTTATTAACTTACATATACTACAGCTGCTAATTCTTGTCGTTCTTGAACTCCTTCTATAGATGACTTATATGGTGATGTACCATTATCATAAACAGTGAATTGAGTACCAATTAAATTTGATCTTAGCTTTCCAACATACGATTCACCTCCTCTAGACAAATCAGTTGGATCTGTTGATATTAGATAATTTGATGTTCTACTTTTTTTACGTTTACGAGCAGCCAATAAAAAAATCTATTGGGTAAAAACAAAACATTAACAAAAAAGTGTTTATAATCCAAAATTTAACATTTTGTAATTAGTTTACTTTTGATCCATTTCCTTTGTCTAAATGTAAATAATATGTAGGATATAATCCTCGATCCATGCCTTTTTTGTCTCTTGTTATACGACATTTATAATGAACACCTTGGGCAGCCGGTTCCAGGACAAATGTTTCTAAATTTCCATATACATCGCCTTCCAATTCATTTGTCTATAAMATAAAAAGATAAAATAATACCATAATATTTAGATACTTAGGTAACTTACATCAGTAATTGTTGAAGAAGGATAAATAAAGGGACTATTCTCTTTTATATGTATTGARCTTAAATTTTTAACTGGAGAAATGGAACAAGATTCTTCATCYTCAGTATCTAGAGATGCTCTATGTTCCTCAACTGTCATTTCAGCTACTTCTTTTCTCATATCTAAAAATTACAAACATACAAATTACAATAGTCATTTATTTACAATGCAGACAATT